TGTGAGGAAGCCTAAAGTTTGTAAAATATTTTTGATCCGACATATATATATATATATATATATATATATATATATATATATATATATATATATAGTAAAATAAAGACAAAGAACAGAGAACAAAGATTTATACAGAAACAAAGATTTATATAATCCTTTGTTCTTATTAATTATTTTTATTTTTAAAAAAGCAGTGCTCCATACAATTTTCCAGAGCATAAATATTATAAATTATAAATTTACTAATTTAAAAATATTGTTCCATCGCTACACAGGAATTATTATGTTTCAAAAACAGAAGCTAAAAACTTTAAATTCTCAGCGAATTTTGGAATCCATAATTTTGGAATTTCAAAAATTCGCTTGAAAATGAAACAATACTACGGATTTTAATTCAATTCGATAATTAAATTTTAAGTTTTTAGTTTCTGTTTTTGAAACCTGGTAATTCCTGTGTAGCGATGGAATCATATTCTAAATTACTATATATATATATATATATATATATATATATATATATATATATATATATATATATATCGTTAAAAAATACTGAAAATGTAATTCTATGGATTTTAAAAAAATTTCTTGTATGCCAAGCCTAACAAGCAATAATAGTATCAGCAGCAGAAGAAGAAGAAGAAGCAGGCAGGCAATGGATATTACGGTGAAATCTTTAAGTTCTAACGAGGTAATAACCTAGGGGATTAAAATGTCGCTTCGTGAATTTGGTATGATAGTAATTGTGAATCTAACACCTGGGCTGTGTAGCACAGAATTAGGCTAATTAGAAACAAAGAACAATAACGGAGAAGACGTATTATCGTTAAACATGGCTAACGGAACCAGATTACAAGTATAGTTCGAAATTTCCTGAAAGCAGAAAACCTTGTGATAACAACAACAAAGACGAGGACATTACTACTAGTGTAAATAATAATAATAATATTAATAATATATGTCACTGGAGATTGTAATATATCTTTGAAGACCTTCAGACACTATCAAAATATATATATGGATCTTGAAATCGAAATCTCAAAAACGTGGTATTTGAGGACCTTTGAGGACCTCAACAATTCCAGTTGTAGTTGGCGCCCTTGGATTGATTAGAAAAAGTTCCGATAGACTCATTGAAGGGATTCCTGGTAGCCCATGCCTTAAAGAAATACAAAGAATTGTACAATACAGCTTATGCCTTACGAAGAGGTTTAGTTATGTTAAATATGTGTGACCTTAGGTTGCTCTTCTTCCTCATAAAAATGCTCAGTGAAAAATTTAATGATGCCATCTTTGGCCTTGGGTCATAGGTTGGGACGCGGAAATGAGTATACGCCTGAAATCAAATCAAATTAAAATAATAATAATATAGAGATACAGAAGGCCCTTATCTCCCTTTGGTAGAGATAGGTTACATGGGTCACATGACGGCCGCTTTGCGACATTACACCATACAGTGAACAAAGCGGCAGTCATTTTTCAGTTCGTAAACAGCAACTAGACATAAAGAGTGCTTTCTTTTAGCATGGCCCAGGCTGAGATTAAATCTGCAGCTTACAAGCAAATTATGCCGTTTTCCTTTAGAAAATAGATGAATCCGGCTCGTTTAAATCATGAGTCCTAAAATGGCTTCTTTAGATCATGAATATCTCCAAATTATATGTAAGACCTTACCTTTTTGTTCCTCCTAATGCTTTGCCCTGCTGTTTATATATTTGTGATATAGTGTTCCTTGCGTGGGATACGTGTATATATGTCTATAGCTGTGCATGCCTTAGTATTATAAAAGTCTCTCTTAGAACAAAGCATGTTTGTCATACTTTTTTCCTTTCAGCCATTCCTGTTCTGTTATAACCTAGGGGAGGTTACTAAATAGAATAATCAACGATAATACTTAGGACAAGAACAACACATATAAGTTTCTCCAGCGGCGCGTAGAAGTAGTCAACTGCTAGATGTGAGTCAAGTGAATTCCACAATAAATCTCAAACTACAGGATATCTACTAACTGTACCACGCGGTCAGATGTAACACAAGGCCGAATTTAATGGGGGATATCCGGGTCCGTAGGCTCGGCCAAAAATTCCCCGTAGACCTCGTATAAAATGGGGTCGGGTAGCTGTGCTCTTCGACATAACCTGCCTCCGGGCACAGAGGATCGCAGGCGAGGCTATGTTTGATCAGCACAGCTGGAGACGAATCTCTAACTGCAGACCAACATACAGCATTTACTACTGTATTTATATGGGGACATACCTTTCCTTAGCGCGCTCATTGTCTCATGACATAACTGTTTGATAATAATTATCAGTTTATTTTCATTTTGGAGTATAGTTAGTTGATTCACTTTTGGTATAGCCTAAGTAATCGAAGTTTTTAGACAGTTCAACGCAAGTTGTTCCTAGCAAAAGTAGTTTTGCTTTGAATAAATATGCCTTCAAATTGAATAAATATATTCTTCTTTCGCTTCTTAATATTCTTCTATTTACCGTGTCCCAACAGAACGTGGGCGATCATAAGGCCGTTCTTCTTCTTCTTCTTCTTCTTCTTCTTCTTCTTATTATTATTATTATTATTATTCAGATGTGGGCAAACATGGCCCTCCACAATTTCTCGTGTTTTGTAACTCTTAGTAAATGTTGCCATTTCGCTATCTCTCCTAATACCAGTCCTGCCAACCATTTACACAAGGTCATTCTTCTTCTTATTATTATTCTTCAGATGTGTGCAATCATGGCCCTCCACAATTTCTCGTGTTTTGTACCTCTTAGTAAATGTTCTCTTTTCGCTATCGCTCCTAATACCAATCCTGTCAACCATTTACATAAGGTCATTCTTCTTCTTCTATGTGCCGTGTATCATGACTCTCCACAACTTCCTCTCCTTTGTAGCTCTTAGTAAATTTTGTCTTTTGCTACATCTCCTAAACCCTGTTCTGTCATCCATAAGCGCGTTAGGTTGGTTATACGGTTCTTTCCCCTGTCTCTCTTACCTTCAGTATGTTCTGTGAGTGTCAAATTTGCTAAGTCTTCTTTCCTCATTATGTACCCTAAAAATTTTAGTTGTCTCTTTCTGATATTAATTATATGTATCTTTTTTGTTTCCATTTTCTTTCCATCTATTGTATTGAATTCTCAGCCCCCTTCTGAGAAATATATTTCTGTTGCTTCAAGTCTCTTCTCCATCTGTGATGGGATTGCTCATACACTGCCGTACATAAGGACCAATATAACGCAATTTTTCTTTTTTTTAATACTTTGTACGGATTTTCGAGTCACACCAACCATCACGGTTCTGCCTCAAGGTCGCAAGATCATTAGGGTGGCATTCTGTATCATAACACTATAGGTGGTTGCTGGGGGACCAATACGTATTGCTCAATGGCTAGGTGTCCACAGCGGTAGATCATTGGCAAGTTCTTGTTTTGTTCGTCAGCAGTGTCTTGCAAAGCACTTTCTACGTTTGCGTAAGATTGTAGGAATATCAGCGACGGGTTTTTAGAGCTGTGATTTAGTTGGATGTTGCCTCCAAGAGATATTAGTGTCAGAGTGTGGGTTCCATCAAGCTTAGACTCTAGGGTTTTAGTTAATGCCCGAGCAGTGGCACCATACATTAACACCGCCTCTACAGTGGCGCGAAAGTATCTCCGCTTGAGGTTGTCTTGTAGATCGGATTTCCAGATTACAGCCATTTTATTCAAGGTGACCCAGGTTTTACCTATGCGTAGTTTCGCATCCTTTTCTGTGGAATTCATTTCGCTTCCTAGGTATGTAAAAGATTCGAAAGATTTTATTGATTCACCTAAGACAGTTTCTATTGAGCCTTACTAGTTGAAGCTTATGACTTTAGGATTATCTGTACCTATGTTTTATTAAAGAAGAAGAATAAAACATAGTCTCAGATAATTCCTATATTTTTCGTTAAATTGGATACATTTTCTGGGCCGGTGTTTTCATCCTAAGCACACAGTGCAACCGACAAAGAGCTGCCAAATATGGGATATTTCGATGAATTCTTAATAAAACTACTTCCTCTGTAGTAACAGGAAAAAAGTGAGACGGAAAATGAGGTAAAAATGCCAGTAGCTTAAAAAATAAAAAAAAAACAAAACAAAAGAAGAAAACTTTAAAAAGTAAGAACTAAAGAGACAACTTGCAAAATATAAGTTTCCTCTTCTGGAAACACTGAAGCTAGCCAGGGTGACATTTGAATGAGGGGTGGTGGTGATGCACCAAGTAGCGGGTGTGGGGATAGTTGGAGAGAAGCTTGCTACAGCCAAAAGTCTTGATGATTAAAAAAGATAGAATAAATAAATGTCACTTTTAATGATTCTAATTGTTATTGAATAAATGCCGTCCGTAACGCCGACAAAACCTCATTAAATAGCTGCAACTTTGCGAAGAAAAGAAAAAGAAAGTCATAATATAACCGGTTGAAGATTTTATTAAATAAATGTCACTTTCAATGTTGAACAATTTTTCATTAAATAAACGTCAGTAACTCGTTTATAATTATTGTTGACGATATTAAATGATTTTCTTCAATACGAAGTTTACCGGAAGGCAGAAAAATCTACTGGCGATCATTTTTTCCCATGAGTCAAATTGCCGTAAGTTGGAATCTCCTTGAATTCTGAACGCTGTGTTGAATATTCATTGTCTGGACACGTTTGCAACATTATTTGCATGACGCAGTACAAATTATATAATCTAATGTATACAATTATCTGTAAGTGCGTTCCAATAACTACAAACATGTTGACCATTTCGAAGCTATTCCAGGTATTCTTTTTCACGCTTTTCTGTCTCAAAGAATTTTTTAATAAAATATTTTTGATCATTTTTAAAAAGACGGTAAAAAATCATGCCAGAATAAATTTACCAAATATGGATTGCAGCAGTTATTACCAATTGTTGAAGGGTTACATTTAGTGAGGGCAATATAGAGTAATATTTATTGAACGTGGAATGTATCGATGTTTCTGGATTACAGCCATATATTATTGAAACACCGGTTCCCGTACGATCATCGAAGTTAAGCAACATCAAGCCTGATCAGTATCTAGATGGGTAACCGTTTGGGAATAATAGGTACTGTAAGCTTGGATGTGCGGTTGGGGTAATGGAAAAAGGCTCGGAAATTAAAATCGGAGAGCCGAGTTCCAGTTCCAGCCAGGTTCGTTATACTTTCGCTCAAATACGCTTAGAAAAGCTATGAATCAATCTCTTCCCTCCTTCAGCCATGGCTTAAATAGTAGGAAATCCTTATTATCTACAAAAGAATATCTGACAATGTAAAATAATTTCTGGCTTTAAATAACATTCAAAGGGTTGATAAGCCGTAAAAACCAAATCAATCAATCGAAGCTGCTCCAAACAAGAAAGTGTAAGGGTAGTTATAAAAACAATGACGTACAATCACAACATCTTTTATTGTCTTCGTTATCTAAATGGATGGAATACAAACAGGTGAATGAAGGTGCGCGTGTGTGTGTGCGTGTCTGTTTATGTGTGTAGAGGTGTTCTTTTTCGTACAGACGTATATGCAAATTAAATATAAAGGATTTTAAGTCTTACCGTAATTTCTCGATAATTAATGGCAATTTCAGGTGATAGTAGGGGTGCGTATTATAAATAGGTTCAAACAAAAAATATTTTTGCGTTGTTGATTTATAATAATAAATACGTATTTTTAGTTCTAAAATAAGAAAGATATGATCCAAATTTTAATTTTAAATCCGACAATAATAATTGTAACGTTTTTTGTTAATGAATTCATGATTATCAGTAACCGCATTTTTTATTTGGCGAAAAAATAAAATAAAAATCTATAAAAAGGCCAATTTTGAAGAAAAGAGGATATCAAGTTAACAATTTATTGAAAATTTAATTTTCATCATCATCATAACCATTTTCTATTATAGAATCAATATCTAAATTGTAATTAAACAAATTATCATTCACAATATTATTTTCGTCCTGTTCAAAATTATCTTCGGATTCCTCATTCTCTTGCAAAAGGATGTCATCTTCAGAGCCATCAATGGCTGTCGAAAGACAACACTCCTTGAAATCTTTCTTTATAACATTCTCATTGACGAAATCCCAAGATTCCTGAATCCATTTTACAATAAGTTCCAACTCATGGTAATTTTCAACATTATTTTAGCAGCTTAGTTTCGATTTCATTCTTAATACCAAGGTTGACAAAATGACGTCGTAATTATATTTTTTTTTGTTTTTTGACAAAATTTATAGATGCGTATTATGCATAGGTATAGATATATTTCTTAATTTTTTGATAATTGGTTGGGGTGCGTATTATTTATTGGTGCGTATTATTTTCGGGAAATTATGGTACATTTTGAGAAGAGTTTGGAAAAATGTTTTAGATATGACTGTGTGTATTCAAGTAGGCTGTAGGCATTTTTGTGCTGTTTAATAAGCCGTGTTGTATTCATTGTGACATAAGGTTTACTGGAGAATGAATAAGACACGCCCTGTCTTATAAGCATGAGAGCTAAAAGAGGAATGATGGGAAGCAGACATGGCCTATCTCTGTGGCGAAAAGAGAGGAAAGAAAATAGGCTTTTGTACCCTTTTTGTATATGCTGCTTTTTGTTAAAGCCATCTAGCGGTCGTCAGCAGAAAGTTTTGGAAGACAGGAGCAGTAATCCCATGGGATATTGCAGTTTGTAAAACATTGCGGTGTTTTATAGAGATGTTGCAAATATGGCTGTTTGAATTTCGAAGCTTTCAATAGAAATCTTCGTCACGAAATAAAAACAAAAGCGACAGAAACCGGAATTCTTGGGATAAATTGAAAGAATCGCTATGGTAGCATTACTAAAACTAGCAAGAATATAGAAGAATTGGAATATTAAGGAGAATTGTTTATCTTCAGTAAAAGAAACAATATATAATAAAGATACCAGTAACTAGGAAGTTTTAAGGAAAATTTAAATTTAAATAATTAGACTCAGAAAGAGGAATTTAAATTTCTAAGCAACATAATGAGGAATTAAATTTTGGAGAATTGGGAACGCTCATGACATATTGAATGCAAGGTGAGCAGAGAAATGAGGCGAATAAACAGACCTAACAAGCTTGTGTAAATGGTCGGCAGAACAGAATTTAGGAGAGATAGCAAACAGACAAACCTTGTTAAGAGCTTCAAAGTTACGGAAAACCATGATAACACACGTCCTGAAGACAGACAGCACATAAAAGAAGGTACTATGAGTGCAAGTAAAGTGAGAGTTATCAGATAATTGGACATGCAGTATCGTAACGTTTATACGTGTGGAAAATAGAACCAACGTGCCGAGTTCAATTTCCGGCATAGTCGGTTGTGTTCACTTTGCGTTTTTGCTTCCGTAATTAACATAAATTCATTTACACTTGCTCGTAAATAGCAAGGTAGACTGGATTCGCATAGACTTGTGGTATCGAGTCGAGGATAAGAAAAACTCCGTTTTCAAAACCTTGGATAGACCAAGCACTCCATTAACTGCCAAAAGCAGTCTTTTATGTCTTTTATGCAAATTAGTCCACTGTTAGTCCACAATTTTACAACCTCCTAAGTCTACTATTCACCCGTGCTTTGAATATTGTTGCCACACGTGGTCTGGTTCATCTGCTATATATCTAGAGATTCTTGACAAAACCCAAAGAAGAATCTGCAATGTTATCAGTTCTGACCTGGTATCTCAAATTCCGTCACTTTCCCACCGCCGTAAATGTTCCTTTTCTATAAATACTTTCATGGCAATTGTTCTGATGAACAATTGTCATGAAAATAAAGCTTTCCTCTTTGATATCCTGACGTCACGAATTGAAGTAGAGCACTAGATTAGTAGTTACTATCATTCATGTCACATAACTGACTGAAGTCTAGAAGGAGTATCGAAAGATACATGATCGCCTAAGCGTGTATCACGCATGGCACATAACTGATTGATTACACTATTTAGTTTTTAGAATATTTTAGAGCGTTCTCTATTTCAAAATTTGAACATTTAAAATTATTTAATTTCTTCTCCACGTTGCTTCTGTGAATAAATATAAGTAACTCAATAACATTTCTACAGTTGTCTTGATAAAGTTCCTCAAGGAACGAAATGCTTTGGCATAAAAGGTTTTCCTCTCGTCCTTTCTTTATACAATAATATTTTCCATGAGTGAATTTTACAGAAAAGTAAATAGGGAAACAACGTCAAAACGACTACCAGAAAAGTGGAGCGGCCCCATTATCATCTCCATTAGATCATGAATTTATAGGGCCGTGGAGCCATTGCGTAGTTGGTCTTCTGGCCAATTCCCTCCACAGATCCATGTTGAAAGCCGGAAAAAGTATTCATTAATGTGTCGCGCGTCTTCGGCAAATAGATCTGGTGGAACCCACTCAACTCAAGTTCAAACCACAATCGATGTCCCCAGAAGGCTCGGCTTGGTTACGGGCATGTGACCATTGATTCTATCAAGGGACCCCCCCCCAACCACCACCACTGCGCTGGCTATTGACTTCAAACTAGAAAGTCCTCTTCCCAGCATTTCTGTGTCATCACTGCACTCGCTGCTTATATATCTATGGAGCTCCACTGGGTGCCTAGCCGTCCCACTTCTCGTAGAAGTGTCTGGTGGGAGAGCCGGTTTAGAGCGATTGATCAAACTAAAAGACAATGAACAGCATCAGAACCAAAGCAGATTGGGGACTGAAACAACCTGAGGGGATACTGAGAAGAATTTAAAGTCAACCTCTCTATATATATAGCGTGGGGAATGTACATGAAAGACGGGTGTTGAGAAATTTGTTGGACTGAAGGATACAGTAGACAAGGCGACTTCGGAGTCATACCCACATACTAAGCCAAAAAACTGACCCCATGAAATGTTATGTGCTGTTTTTATGAAGACCTGTCACCATGTCTTGTAAATATATTTGACTGTGTTGCATGTACTTTATATACATTTATTATACTGTGCATCCTTATGGGTATTATTGAACTTCGAACATTTTTACCCATACGTGTTACTTATTCACTGATTAATGATTAATAATAATAATAATAATAATAATAATAATATGGAATGGAAACAGCAAAAAATTGTTATGTACACCATTCTGATTCGGTTACAGACATAAAATCTGTAATAATTTTATTGGCCTTTACAACATAGACAGACAAACAATCAAAACTAATCGCCCAGACACAGTGAACTACGATCACAAAAACAGAATGAGCTTTCTTCTTGACATGGCAGACTGTAATGTAACTTTGAAGGTTTTCCGCAAACTATCAAAATACAAGGTTTTTGAAGCGTAAACCTCAAGAAGGTGACACATGAAAACATCGATAATTCCAGGTGTAGTTTATGCCCTTTGTTTGATTGGAAAAAAAGTTCTGATCGATTCATTGAAGGGATTCCTGGCAGCTGATGCCTTAAAGAAATACAAAGAATAGTACAATACAGCCTATACATTACGAAGACCTTTATATATGTTAAATATGTGTGACCTTAGGTTGCTCTTCTTCCTCAAAAAATGCTCAGTGAAAAATTTAATGATGCCATCTTTGGCCTTAGGTCATTGATTTTTACTCTCACAAGTGCATCTCACACATAACAAAGAGCACTATCAATGTAAAATCTGTGTGTTCTTAGGTTATAAATGTTCAGTGAAATTGTCATGATGCCATTTCAGACATTAGGACTCTGTCTCGCTTTAGGAAGGAAATGAATATACAATAGAAATAAAAGGAAATAATAATAATAATAATAATAATAATAATATGGTAAGAAAAGAGTACTACAGGCGTGCGCATCTAGTACTGAAGAAAAAAAACCCCCAAAAACCCCAAAAAACAGAATACCAGCCATAAACACCTTGGCTGTTCCTGTGGTGCAAAACATTTTTAACTGGACCATAGCTGACATAAAGCGAATGGACGCCAAGATGAGAAAGCTTTTCACCTGCCACCGCATGCATCATCCCAAAGCTGAAGCTGATCGTCTGTATGTGCCCAGATCCGAAGGAGGTATAGGATTATTTCAACTAGAACTGTATTACAAAACTACAACAATTGGTCTTCAAAGATATCTCGAAGCTACAGAAGTCTGGATGATGATCTGTGTCATAGAACAGGAAAGTAGTAACCGACTTTATTCAGTAATAAAGGAAGTAGACATGTTCAAAATGAACTTTCAAGTGGGTAAAATAATACAAGTAAAGCATAATACTGAAGCTGAAAAATGCCTAAAAAAAGAAAGCAAAGGCAAATGCAACCGACCAGATACAGAAACGATGGCAAGATAAACCGCTTCACAGTCGATACTCTGTCCGTACCAAAACAAGCTGATGTTGTGTCTACGTAATGCAGGGTTAAAAGTTGAAACTGCAGGCTTTATTATTGCGCCACAGGAATTACTAATCACATATATTGAGAAATTATTCTGTGATAAATATCCAGAGACAATTGACCATCTTGTATCAGGTTACGCGGTACTGGCATCCACTGAATATAAAGCACGGTACGACAGAGTGGATCAATGCCTGCACTGGAAAATCTGCAAAACTTACGGAAAGGAAACTGAAAGAATATAGATTGAATCTGTAACAATTTTATAGGACTTTACAATACACACAGGAAGAACAATCAAGGCTAATCGCACTGCCATCGTGTTAGAGACCGCAAAGGTAAAATGTATCTCCTTAGTGACATGGCAGTCCCAGCAGTTTGCAATGTATCTTTGAAGATTTTAAAAAAAAACTATCCCAATCCAAGAACTTTGAAATCGAAATCTCAAAAATGTGGTGCCTGAGGACATTAACAGTTCCAATTGTATTTGGAGCCTTCCGATTGATTGGAAATGATTCCAATAGACTCATTGGAGTAATCCCTGATAGCCCATGCCTTAAAGAAATACAAATAATTGTACTCACAGGTACAACCCACACCTTACAAAGAGCTTTATCTATATAAAATATGTACGACTTTTGTTCAAAACTGCTCAGTGGAAAATGTCATGGTGTCATTTATGACCTTAGGTCTCTGGTTGGGACCCGGAGAGAAATGAATACACAACAGAAACCAAAAGAAATGCAACAACAGTAACAATAATAACAATGATAATAAATCTGCCTCAAAAATTTTGCCAAAAATGACAATGAGTTAAAAAGTCTTCTCAGTGCTGTAAAATGTTTCAGTGATGTCATCGGTATTGACTTCGGATTAGATAAATGTGCAAAAGTAACATTCAAGAACGAAATTATAGTTCTGGAACATGTAGAAGCGTATAAATACCTAGGAGTCAGCGATTGAGATGGAATACAGCATACCCAAGTGAAGGAGAAATTAATAAAATTATACAACAGGCGTGTGCATCTGATGTTAAATACCGAATTGCGATTCACAAAACAGAATATCAACCATAAACACTTTGCCTGTCCCTGTGGTACTTTCAACATCCTTCTCGACTATAGCTGACATTAAGTGAATAGATATCAATACAGGAAAGCTTCTCTCTTGCCACCGCATGAATCATCCTAAGGCTGATGTTGAGCGACTGTATGTGTCCAGATCCAAAGGAGGTGAATAATTATTTCCACTAGAACTGCCTTGATGTCTTCAAAGATAACTGGAAACTACACAAGACTGTATAAAAGAACAGGAAGAAATTAAAAACTTTATTTAGTAATAAAGGAAGCCAACGAATTGAAAAGGAAATTTCAAGTGCACGAAGAAGAGCAAGTAAATCCTAATTCACTTACTACAGCAGCAAAGAATCTAAAAAAAAAAGAAGAAAAAAAGAAGGCAAAAGCAAATGCAATGGGCCATGTGCAAAAACGATGACAAGATAAAACTCTTCATGGTCAATACTCTGCCCGTCAAAAAGAAAGTGCAGCAGCCACACCCCATATCCATTAGGGGTTGCGTAGTGCTGCATTAAAAGCTGAAACATAAGATTATATTCTTGCTGCACATGACCAATGTTTGCTAACAATAATTTATATTGAAACATTGTTGACCCCAAATGATGATTCTGTGACGAATATCCAGAAACAATTGACCATCTTGTATCAGCACGGAATTGGCATCCATCGAATATAAAACCCGGAACTATAAAATCTGCAACTTTTATAAGAAAGAGACAGCAAGAAATTGGCATTAACGCCACAAAGACCCTGTTACAGACATAAGAAACACAAGAATATAATGGGACATTGCAAGACACACAGATAGAACAATCAAAGCTAATCGTAGAGGACATCGTAATCAAATTCCACAAAAACAGAATGTGACTTCTTATTGACATGATAGTTCCTATATTAATTAATGTATTTTTGAAAATCTTAAGAGAAACTATCAAAATACAAGGATCTTGAAATGGAAATCACAAAAATGTGGCACATGAGGGCATCAATATTTCCAGTTGTAGTTGGGAGTCGGGTTTGATTGGAAAATATTCTGATAGGCAATGGGAAATCATCCCACTATGTTTCTCAACTACCAATGGCAAATCACAGACAAAATGTAAAGGAATTTGTGGAGATCTATATGATTATCTACATCTTGAAGTGCTATGGTATTTTTTAAAAAGTATTTTACAGATTTGTATAGTGATTTTTGCATCTATCTATCTATCTATCTATCTATCTATCTATCTATCTATCTATCTATCTATACGCGTGTTCCTTGTAAAGGAATTTGTGGACATCTATATGATTACCTACATCTTGAAGTGCTATGGTATTTTTAAAAGTATTTTACAGATTTGTATAGTGATTTTCACATCTATCTATCTATCTATCTATCTATCTATCTATCTATCTATCTATCTATCTATCTATCTATACGCATGTTTCTTGTAAAGGAGTTTGTGGACATCTATATGATTACCTGCACCTTGAAGTGCTATGTTATTTTTTAAAAGTATTTTACAGATTTGTATATTGATTTTTACATCTATCTATCTATCTATCTATCTATCTATCTATCTATCTATCTATCTATACGCGTGTTCCTTGTAAAGGAATTTGTGGACATCTATATGATTACCTACATCTTGAAGTGCTATGGTATTTTTAAAAGTATTTTACAGATTTGTATAGTGATTTTCACATCTATCTATCTATCTATCTATCTATCTATCTATCTATCTATACGCATGTTTCTTGTAAAGGAATTTGTGGACATCTATATGATTACCTACACCTTGAAGTGCTATGGTATTTTTTTAAAGTATTTTACAAATTTGTATAGTGATTTTTACTTCTATCTATCTATCTATCTATCTATCTATACGCGTGTTTCTTGTAAAGGAATTTGTGTACATCTATATGATTACCTACACCTTGAAGTGCTATGGTATTTTTTAAAAGTATTTTACAGATTAGTATAGTGATTTTTACATCTATCTATCTATCTATCTATCTATCTATCTATCTATCTATCTATCTATCCGCGTGTTTCTTGGTTGTATAATAGTACCCGAAGAAAAAGTAGATCTGATAAGGTAATTTAATTTTGAATCCCTTTATCCACAAAAATCGTAACGCATTTTCCAAACATCCAATTATGTATTTCATTCGAACCTGCAGAAACGAGTCTTTGAAAAGGTTTACCACTTTGTATCATTGTCACATTATCTATCTATCTATCTATTTATCTATCTATCTATATATCTATCTACACACACACACACACATATAATATATATATATATATATATATATATATATATATATATATATATATATATATATGTATGTATGTATGTATGTATGTATGTATGTATATAATTTAAAAAAAACAACTCCTAGAGAGAAAATAGAGTTCGTTTTCTCCATTGTGTATTTGTAGCATACCCTCTTAGGAGATGCTTATTTTATTTAAATTATAGGCTCTGTTGTGGGGGACTTTGAATGTCTAGTATTGTTGTGTGCTATTTTGATTTTAGCACAAGGCTTTACTGAGGTCCTACAGATTCCCATAAAATCGTTCAATTTCTCCGCATGCTTGTAATTTTTTTCTGTGGTTTGGGTTTCTTCTTTTCCTAAATAATTAAAATTAAAATTTTCTTCTTGGTAGGATAGGCATATCCACTCTTGGTAAGTTTAGTTGGTGTGTGCATGATATGATGATTGCAAGCAACTACATGAAACTTTAGTTGTGGTCGATCACTTCTCACCCGTAATTTATTTAGAAATTAATTACATTAAAAGGATATAGCTTTTGTGTATTTATTCTTAAGTATTTCATTTATTAATGGCAAATTATTAATTATTGTTTAAACTGTTTTAACCATTAATGGCCGATTATTTACTTATTTTCTTAACATTTTTGGCCATTAATGGTCGATTATTAATTACTTTCTCAAATATTTTAACTATTAATGGCCGATTATTTACTTATTTTCGTAAGTTTTAACGATTAATGGCCGATTATTTACTTATTTTCGTAAGTTTTCACCATTAAAGACCGATTATTTACTTATTTTCGTAAGTTTTAACCATTAATGGCCGATTATTTATTTATTTTCGTAAGTTTTAACCATTAAAGACCGATTATTTACTTATTTTTGTAAGTTTTAACCATTAATGGCCGATTATTTATTTATTTTCGTAAGTTTTAACCATTAAAGACCGATTATTTACTTATTTTCGTAAGTTTTAAACATTAATAGCCGATTATCTACTTATTTTCATAACTATTTTAAACATTAATTTTTTCTTATTATCATAACAGTTTTAACTATTAATGGCCGATTATTTACTGGAAAAAAACAACAACAGTAAAACACCTAATATAAGGTTGCCTTAAAATTTCGAAAGTTGCAACCGTTTTGATAAGTGCATCTGAAGAAGGTCAATATCTACTGGTATACACATGATTCTGATTTTGTTTTGTATTGATCTCGGTGCATAAACAACACAACTTCTCAATCATGTTCAAGTGACCTATATCGATCACTTCAAGTAACCTGCGTTGATCCCCTTAGTAAATGAAGTCAGTATGTTTATCTTTAATTAGAGCTGGTTATTAAATTTGAGTTCTTCTCGGGTGTATGTCGATTCCGGAATACGTACGGATCAGTGCAAATGGAACGGGCAGCCGATTGTGTAAACGAATTTGTACCGCGTATATATATATATATATATATATATATATATATATATAAAATTTTATATATATCAAGAATAATTTTGGAGGAAAGATATATGACAAAGAAACTGTTTTCGGGTAAGGTATTTCATTCATTAGGACTTGATTTGTTTGCGTTGTATAGTCAGATCACGAAAACAAACGTAGTCTGAGCGTCCTTGGTATGACGATAAACTATATCCGAGTCCTAGGTATGACGATAAACTACATCACCGTCCTGGGTATGACGATAAACTACATCCGCGTCCTGGGTATGACGATAAACTACATCAGCGTCCTGGGTATGACGATAAATTGCGTCCAACAGCCAGGCCTCTGATAATACGTTTTTGAAAAAAGAATATTACCAGCTATAAGTTTTTGAGAAAAAAAAAAATTAACAGAAATGGATTTTTGACAAAACAAAAATATTACAAGAAAAAAAAAGTTGTCGGCATAGAGGATGATATGCCGTAAAACAAAACAAACCTAGTCCGATGAACACCTAAAGGATGAAACGATTAACACGGAAACATTTTCTACTTTACTTTATATATATATATATATATATATATATATATATATATATATATATATATATATATATATATTAGGAAAATTAATTACAAATTAAAACCTTTCCTCGTTTGACACTTTTGTTTTTTAGGACTTCATAGATCTAAAATGATGTTTATGTGTACATGGAGATGGGACGCTAGAATGTTAAACTTTTAAATTTATTTTTTAATATGTGTTTGGGTATATTGTCTATATATATTTTTTATATTTTCTGTTATGTATATATATATATATATATATATTAAATATTTGTTTGGGCTTATAGTCGCTCTTCCTTTCTCTCTCTCTCCACCTATCTTCCTTCTCTCTGTATCTGTCTCTCGATTTATCTCCTCTCTCTCGATATATATATATATATATATATATATATATATATATATATGATGAATGACGATTGCATTCAAGCATGAAACAAATTGTCACCTCTGCGTGTTGACTTCAATGTCCTGACCCCAATCACCTTTCAATCTAGGCAAATGAGAATTTATTTTGGGACACAGGGTAGATAGCACACTATCTGGCATAAGTTGAGTAGCATAGGCAAAATTTTTTTTTTACATTATATATTTTACATGATATATATATATATATATATATATATGTATGTAATAAATGACAATGTCAGTGTGTCACTGTTTCACAGTTTTTCAACTTTACTCCTACAGTCCGTAGCCCAACATATCATACCATTTTGGAATTAGGCCGACTCCATGAGCAAAAGAAAAACATTCTGGGCCATATCCAGACCCGCCATCCTGAAATTTTGGATTCCCAAGTTTTCATTACTGCGATATTTTTCGGCGAATTTTTCCATGATTTTTTGCGACAAGTTTTTTTGTACGATAACAATTTTTACAACTGGAAATAAATTTGGGAGTAATCAAATAAATTAATTACGAAATCCAACAAAAGTCATCCATGAAATAAAAATAATAGTTTGTACAGAAAGTAAGGACCTACGTACATCAAATTGTCTTTAAATTAAGTGGCAGCAGAAAAATTATTGTTGAACTTTTGAAAGGTAAGCTTAAATATTAATGCAATACCGAAATGCAGCGTTCAATTTTGAGTACTTCTGTAGTTTATTGTTGCATATCGTCTGCGGCAGTGAAATGCCTCGCAAAATGTTGAATCGCATTAGGAAAAGATAATATTTTGGAGCAATCCGGGCTCACATGTGCGGCATTGAGGGGCAGATAAGAGGACTGCCTTATTTTCATCTTTATTGCTTGATTCAAGAAGAAAATCAATCCAAATCAAATTGATGTTATCATTAGTGCTGAGCCGTTAAATCCCATTGAAAATCCAGTCCTTTTTGAAATCATAAAATCCCGATTCATGGCCGATGTGGTTCTCTCAATCCTGAATCTCTTTGGATGATCGACAAGAAGTGTAGCAAAGACTTTCCAAAACAGTTTACGAAAGTGACTCAGTCGGATTTTGATGGCTATCCAGAATACAAAAGAAGTAAGCCAGAAGATGGAGGTCACCCTTTCACTCTAAATAAAAGAGGACAATAAATTGTCATTGACAATCGGTGGATTGTTCCTTTCTGTCCGCTGCTCAGTAAAGCATTTAGTGCTCACATAAATGTAGAGTACTGCTACAGCATCAATTAAATCGATTATGTATGTAAACTAGCAGCATGACCCGGCGTTGCCCCGGCTTGATTCAAAAATCGTACGACGCATACAGCAATCGCTATCACTTGACTTAAAATATTTTTGCCCTTCCTTGCCTTTAAAGGAGTGCCCTTTGCCGTGCTGATGTTGCTACATGCCTTACTTCTTGCCTATCTCACACTGCGAATTTTTTCGAAGCTTTATACTAAACATTAAATCTGTTACGAAAAAAGAACTAAACAAAATGAACACAAAACGATCAGCTTTAAAAAGGACTCGTAACTGGAAAAAACCGAATGAAAAAAGAATGTTAACAACAAATACTTTTTCACACCCAACCCAGTTCTGCGGAATCAGAATCATCGTTGAGTTTAAGCAAGCGAATAAGCCAATTGGAGTAAAGTGCCATGTAGATTTAAATTTTTCCCACTTGTGACGAATGCATCTATCGATTTTTTTTTTGCATGTTAGCATGCTAGTTAACATTAATGTCAGTCAGCTGTTGGCTCTCACGCTGGCCAATAGAATCTTCCTGCCTATTCGTGGCAGCCAGCTATAGGATCTCACTCTGGCCAGTTGAAAATGGCCGCAAACTACATGAAAACTGCTGTAGAAGCATGAAAAAATCCATTATTTCCACTATCGATGAGAGTTAGGAAATGCAAAGTCGGTCTTGGCCTTCCCGCTAACTTGGAGCATGTACATGTAAATTTTGGTGCAAACCCTTCGAAAATTGCGGCCGTGCATTCGTTACACACACACACACACACACACACACACACACACACACACACACACACACACACACACACACACACATCCTGCCTTTTAAAGATAGAAATGCATTAACAAGGAAAGTGACCAAGCAGTATTTGGTCTGGAAAATGAAAATGGGCCGATACATCTGGGTCGATACATCTCTTCCAATGAGGCTTCCAATCCATGACCGAAGTCCTTCAGTTCAACACCACTTGGGAAATGGACAAAGAGTTTACTTCACAGATTAAAATGCAAGAGAACTGACTGAAAATCCTATGAACACAACACTAATGACATTTTAGAACTGTGTCAAAATGATGACTTTACAAGTCGTACCCTGAAGTTTAAAAATACTGCACCTACAAGGTTAGAAGATTTTAG